GCCAGTTATGGTTTCTCTAAATCACCTGAGCCAACTTTGCCCAGATGTTGCTTCACTGGGATTCAACCTCTTAAAGTTGCTCTGAAATGGCTCTAATAGAAAACATACAAGCAGTATAACAGGGTTTAGTTAGATAAGCTGTTTCCATGCGGTTTTATCGAAACGTGTTGGGAATGCGGCGTGCAGATCAGCAGTTTGGATCACGTTTCCTCTCTTGTCTCTTCACACTACTCCAAAGTGCTACAAACATCCAGTAAAGCGTTCTGTACAAAGTGATAAGTGGTAAGTACAATGTGCTGCGGCTCAAAAAAGAGAAAGGAAAAACAAACTGAAAAGTGTTGGAGAAGGTGACCTTAAAACTGCTTTGTGTTATGTGGCTGCAGTGCAGAGCTATTCTGTTTCTGTACCTGGCACAGACTGAAGAGGTAGAGTGTCACAGCAGGGCTTTCAGTGAAGCCGCCAAACAGCCTGCGCAGCACATCTGCATTGCAAACTCACCTGTTATGGTGTACGGGTAGTAGTTCCAGGCTTTTTCTGTCACATAGAAGATTTTAGGGACCACTGCTCGAGCCCAGCTGGGTAATTTACTGCAAATGGAGAAAGAGACGTTAACTTTTCATCATATTATTCTACACATCTACCTGACAAGATGTTAACCTTTATCCCTGCCTTGCTCTACAAACCAATTTGGGCTCCATTAATACGAGTGTTTAACAAATTCAAATGACCTCTGCAGATGTAAGATTTCATAAAACACAGTAGGAGAAATTATTAAAGTAGTGTAATCTTAAATGCAATCTGCAATCAATTCACAAAATACACACTGAACACATGAGGGGGGCGACTATTTTTAGTTTTTACTTTTACATTTCACTCAACTTTTAGTTTATATCCGATTTTAGCTTAATCTGGACAATAAGATTCTATAGCAGTAACATTTTATCAACATTTATATTTGACTCTTGTTTAATGAATCTGTGATTAGGGCTGCAACTAACGATTGTTTTGCAAATCGATTAATCTGTAGTTTATTTTTTTTGATTAATGGGATAGCTAAAGGTTCTGTAAAGTACAGTACTCAAACTTTTCCACTTGAGTTCTGGATAGAGCATATATATATTTTTTTTTTGTATAATTGCTGCTCAAGGTGGGTTGATCTGTCTTCCAAAGGCATATATTAGAGTCTCCAGTTAACGATTAATCAATTATTAAATAAGTTGATTATTTCAATAATCGATTAATCACGATTAATCCGATTAATTGTTTCGGCCCTATTGGTGAGCTTTATAAATTAAATCTAAGCTGATTTAAAAACTTTTTTTTTTTATCATTGATATTCTACTTTGTTATAGCAACTGTATTCTCTTTGAATATTAAAACAATGACATAACAAACAATATACGAAAACATCCAGTTTGGTTCATATTAGGGACGCACAATATTGGGATTTTGGCCGATATCTGATATGCCGATATTTTAAAACTCATGTAGCCGATAACCGATATCGATACC